ACCCGTGGGTGTATGCCATCCGTTCCAGGTGCTTTATTCACCTTTTATTCTGTCTAAATATTTTTGGATTACATCAATTGTGAGGATCATCTGGAGCTGTGTCAATACCTTGCCCATTATGGACAAGAGCTCCCTCATGCTCCTTTATATATACAGAGCTCAAGAAGGTATTAATTTGCCTTCTCTTTGTTCCCAGTCACCCACTTTATTATTTTGTAAAGGGCCTACATGCTCGGACCGGACCTTTTTACTATTAATATATTTGAAGATTTTTTTGGGGTTGGTCCTGCTATCTTTTGCAATCTGTCATTCATTTTCAATTTTTGCAGCCTTTATTTCCTTTTTGCATATTCTGTTACATTCTTTGTAATGTTTAAACGATGATAGTGTTCCTTCATTTTTATATTGAATAAAAGCTCTTTTCTTTATTATCTATAGCCTTTTTTACTTTGGCCGTAAGCCACATAGGTTTGATTTTTAGCCTTTTAAACTTGTTGACCATGGGAATATATTTTTCAGTGTGTTCACATACAGTCTTTTTGAAGAACTCACATTTCTGTGTTGTGTGTTCATCAATGCCAATATTCCCTCCCAGTCTAAGTCTTGGAGAGCAGCTCTCAGCCTTGGAAAATTACCTTTCTTGAAATTGAGCATTTTTATTTTTCCCGTATGTGCTTGCTGTTTACAGCTAACAATAAATGAAATCATGTTATGGTCACTGCTACCCAGATATTCTTTTATATGGACATTCATAATAAGCTCTGAATGGTTTGAAATTACCAGGTCCAGCAGAGCATCATTCCTAGTAGGGGCCTCTATGAACTGTACCATAAAATTGTCCTGTAGCAGGTTTAAAAATGTTTGCCCTTTAACTGTTCCTGCAGTACCATTACTCCAGTCAATTTCCAGGTAGTTAAAATCCCCCATTATTATCACTGTGCCATCCCTTGCAGCCCTTTGGAACTGTGCAAGGAGCTGAGTCTCCACCTCCTCCTTAACACTGCGAAGCTTATAACAAACTCCAATGATTACATTTGTAGTACGCACCCCCATGTGCAGTTCCACCCATAATACTTCAGCCTCCACACACTCTCCATCAACTAGGTCCTCTTTCACACTTGCTCTGAGATCACTTCTCACATAGAGACAGACACCACCACTTTTCCTATTTACTCTGTCTCTCCGAAAGAGAACATAGGAATATTAATGGGCCAGTCATGCGAAGAATGAAGCCAAGATTCAGCAATACCAATTAAATCATAGCTCTCTTCATGCAACAAAGCTTCCAACTCACCTATTTTGCTTGGCAGACTTGATTGGTTGACACCTTGTTCACACGTATTTTGCATATTTTTTATTTTCATACAAATGGTACCAATTCCACTGGTTGTTTGTAACATGGGAACCTTCTTATCATCTGCCATAGCCTTCCCCCCATCTTTCCCCATTCCACCCACCAATAAGGACTGACCCCTGTCTGATCTGTCTACCCTGTTATAATCTAATTCTCCCTACCCCCTCAATCCTAGTTTAAATACTCCTCCAGCCTTCCCATAAACCTCTCCCCTAGCACAGCAGAACCCCTTCCATTTAGATTACACTGTACAAACAGTCAACATTTTCATACTCCTTTACCTCTGGTTTCCACTTGCAGCAGCTTTGCAGAGTGTATAAATATGACGGTGTAGACCAGCATGCACTGGAGTTAGATCTAGTGCTCTCAGTAACTGGTTAGGCACACCGAGTTTGATTAACTAAAAGTGGAGAGTGCAAAATCTGGTGCTGCTCTGCATGGTAGCCAATCAGCTTCAAACTTTAGCTTGACAAAAAAAAAACCTGGAAGCTGATTAGTTACTATGGAGAGCTGCTCTAGATTTTGCACACTCCAGTTTTAGTAAATCAACCCCACTTTGTTCTCTTCTCTGCAGTAGATATCTGTGTGAGGACATGTGATGAGGAGTGTGGCTGTTATGCAGGTCTGCTAGCACAGAAAACTGATGTGTGAGGGCAAGCAGCAACATTATCACTAGAAGAACAACACAATTATCACTGAATTCTGGCTATTTCCTAGTGAATATCAGTCACAAATCATAGCGTGCAGGGGGGGGTACTGGACTGAAAAGACATTAATAAGGTATAAGACTTTAATTAGACTTTGAAAATGTATTTGTATTTAGAAATATTACTGGAAGTAGTACATAAAGGTCTGTTATAATAAAGGCTGAAATTTTCTCCTAACATTTCATATGCCTGATATACACTATATTGCCAGAAGTATTGGGACACCCCTCCAAATCATTGGATTCAGGTGTTTTAATCACCTCCATGGCCACAGGTATATACAATCAAGCACCTAGGCATGCAGACTGCTTCTACAAACATTTGTGATAGAATGGGTCGCTCTCAGGAGCTCAGTGAATTCAAGCCTGGTACTGTGATAGGTTGCCACCTGTGCAACAAGTCCATCCGTGAAATTTCCTTGCTATTAAATATTCCACCATCAACTGTTAGTGGTATTATAACAAAGTGGAAGCAATGGGAACAACAGCAACTCAGCTACAAAGTGACAGAGCGGTGTCAGAGTATGCTGAAGTGCTCAGGAGTCTGTCTGCAGAGTAAATAGCTAAAGACCTCCAAACGTTGTGTGGTCTTCAGATTAGCACAACAGCAGTGCATCCAAGCCTTACGTCACCAAGTGCAATGCAAAGCGTTGGATGCAGTGGTGTAAAGCATACCGCTACTGGACTCTAGAGCAGTGGAGACGTGTTCTCTGGAGTGATGAATCATGCTTCTCTGTCTGGCAATCTGTTGGACATGTCTGGGTTTGGCATTTGCCAGGAGAACAGTACTTGTCTGACTGCATTGTGCAAAGTGTAAAGTTTGGTGGAGGGGGGATTATGGTATGGGGTTGTTTTTCAGGGGTAAGGCTTGGCCCCTTAGTTCCAGTGAAAGGAACTCTTAAGGAGTCAGTATACCAAGACATTTTGCACAATTTCATGCTTCCAACCTTGTGGAACAGTTTGGGGATGGCCCCTGCCTGTTCCAACATGACTGCGCACCAGTGCACAAAGCAAGGTCCATCAAGACATTGTTGAGTGAGTTTAGGGTGGAGAAATTTGACTGGCATGCACAGAGTCCTGACCTCAACTTGATAGAACACCTTTGGGATGAATTAGAGCAGAGACTGTGAGCCAGGCCTTCTTGTCCGACATCAGTGCCTGACCTCACAAATGCACTTCTGGAAGAATGGTCTAACATTCCCATAGACACACTCCTAAACCTTGTGGACAGCCTTCCCAGAAGAGTTGAAGCTGTTATAGCTGCAGTGATTGGGCCAACTCAATATTGAACCCTACGGACTAAGACTGGGATGCTATTAAAGTTCATGTGTGTGTAAAGAAAGGAGTCCCAATACTTGGGATGTGTATGTCTGGTGTACTATATACTTGTATGAAAAAGTATCCTGTTCTCTTTGTATTGCTTCCTTTTTGTGAAATAGCTAGAGATACTGCCAGTCCCCTTTCTTTCCTATTTCAAACTGACCATGGAAAACATGAAAACACATTCAACCCAGTGTGGTCAGTTTGCTTTTTTGCATTCTACTTGGGAGCACAGCCTGCCTGTTCTCCATTGGTCAGACTTGTGCTGACACACCTCCCTGATCAGCTAATCACTGGAAAGATCAGTGTACTGCTGTTTCTCTGCCTCTAGCTGACATGCCACCCTGAAGTCTCTGTCCCACTTCTCTGAGCCCCTTATGCAGTTGAGAACAGAGAAGGAAAAAAAAGGTATTTCGATTTTTTTATATATTCTGTATATATAAACACACTTTTTTTCTAAACATTTCTGTTTTAAATGGAATGGGTTGTTATACAATATGTTGTTTTCACATATACTTTAAGATCAAATAGTAAGGTATTGCTCATGTTTCATGGATAGGAGTTGACAGATGTGATCTTTGCCCTGACCTGTCAGATTGGTCAGCAACATTATTGAGTGTATGTATAGAAAGATCAATATCTCCTATTCTCCACCAGAATAATTTTCCTATAACAATATATCACTGAAGATAAAATTAGTACAGAATTAAAATTTACAGTGTGCCAGCAAATGGCACGAGATCATATATGCAGAATTTACAGATAGCTACAGTTGTAATTCAGAATGGCTTGGCATTTCATAACCCCAAAAGTGTATGCATTAAACATTAACTTGTTATAAAACAGAGCGGATTGCAAATTGTTATCTCTGATTATTTACCACAGTAGCAAGGTTATGTTTGATGGAAATGCCATACATTTTTTTTATAGAAATAATGCAGTAGAATGATTATGCATAGATACTAAAACTGAGATTATAGAATAACACATTTTAGTAAATGACACTGAGGGTGAACGTTTATTAGTAGTGTTAATATTAGTTTCCAGAAATACAGAATGGGGTTGATTTACTAAAACTGAAAGTGAAATATCTTGAACAGCTCTGCATACAGGGCCGGGACAAGGTCATTCAGCGCCTGGGGCAAAGATGCAAAACTGTGCCTCCCCCCCTTCCTGTTCATGATGTGCAAGCCTGGGGGATCCGCTTAGGAGGTGCACAGTACACCCCTCCTCCCGACTCTCTCTTCACTCCTCCCAGTGCTGGGCTGATAAGAGCAGTACTGCTGCTGTCACTCATCATGTAAGTCTTGTAAAAGAAGGAACTTAACACAGGGTGCCCCGATCCCTGCAATAAACCATTGAACCCAGGGCAGCCTCCCCTCCTGCCCACCCCTTTTTCTGGCCTTGTCTGCACAGAAACCAATCAGCTTCCAGCTTTTTTTTTGTCAAAGCTTAATTGAACAAGTTGAAGTTAGAATCTGATTGGCTATCATGCACATTTGCCCCAAATTTTACACTCTCCAGTTTTAGTAACCCCCCCCCCCCCCCCCCCAGGGGTGGACTGACCATTTGGAAACTCGGGCACTGCCCGAGGGCCCGGGGGTCAGTAGGGGGCCCCATGAGATGCCCCTGGTACCTTTTTCATAGACTTTTTTGAATTTGGGTAAGGACACAGGGGCCCCATGATCCCCTATTGCCCAGGGGCCCCTTGAGTTGTCAGCCCGCCCCTGCCCCCCAGTGTGTTCTAACAAGATCACAAAATGTTATAGTGCAACCAATTTCCCTAATGCTGCCTATCAGATTTGCATGACATGGAAGACATACCACCAATGCTGTACAGTATATCCCAAGGTGTGATAAGTTGTATAACACACCTTGTGTATTGTCTGAAGATTAAAGAGATTATTAATAACAGAATTGATTTCTATGTAGGACTTTCTGAAATGAAGCTGAAAGTGATAGGCTTTGCTTTACCAGAAGGGGCTGAGGCTGTTTAACCACTTCAAGGACACTTTTACCCCCTTCGTGTCCAGGCCAATTTTTAGCTTTCAGCGCTATCACACTTTGAATGACAATTGCGCGGTCATGCAACACTGTACCCATATGAATCTTTTAGAATTTTTTTGAGACAGATAAAACTTTATTTTGGTGGTATTTATTCACCACTGGGATTTTTATTTTTTTTGCTATATAAATGAAAAAGTCCAAACATTTTGAAAAAAAAGTGTGTTTCTTATAAAAATTTGCAAATAAATAATCTTTTCTCATAAATCTTGGCCAAAATGTAATCATCTATCGTTTCAGTAAAAAAAAAAAAAAAAAAAAAAAACCCAAATTAGTTTATAACCAAAAATTATAATTTTTTAAAAAAGTTTTGACATTTTTATTTTTTTTTATATTACTTATGGTTTTGTTTTTTTTTTTACATACTGTCACCCTAGCACTGTACAGTTGAGGGGTGATGAAGATTTTTTTTTTTTTTTTTTTTTACATTGATTGCTTTTTCACCCATAAAGGCTGTAAAAGCAATCATTTCTCCTTCTCTCTGGCTGCATTCTTGCAGTCATTGAGAAATACTGTGAGAGCTGTAATTGGTCACAGCTTGTCACATGGTACAAGGTTGTTGTGAATAGCCTTGTACCATGTGACCTCTGTGATCATTCACAGATTTCACTAGTAAGAAATGATGTCAGAAGTGACATCTTGCTTACTACTATTCATGTGATCACTGATTGGCCAATCAGTGATCACATGATCAGGAGCTCACACAGAGGTCCCGTACAGCGATCGGCTCCGGACACAGATCCAGCGTGGTGCCGCACACTCCTAGGTAGCAGGGAAGGACGTTTATAAACGGCCACCCATTCCTGCACTGCTCCCGTCTGGCCCATGTAAATAAACGACAGGATAGGAGCAGTGCAGGAGCAGGTGGCTGTTTATAAAGTGGTTAATTAGCAAACTGAAAATTCACTTTAACATCCATTCTATTAAGAGGGAAATTTAAAAAAAAAAAGTATTTTTGTTAGCACGTGACTCCCCATTTAAGACAAACATAAGGTCTTTCCTGGGACACGTTTCTCTGGTACCTAAGGAAAAGATGCCTTTAATTTTAGGGTTAAAAAAAACGAATTAAAGCGATACTAAAGGCTCTTTTTATTTTTATTTTTAAAATAACAAATATGTCTATACTTACCTACTGTGTGCAGTGGTTTTGCACAGAGCAGCCTTGATTCTCCTTTCTCTCGGGACCCCCGCAGGCTCTCCTGGCTCCTCCTTTTGTTGGGAACCCCCATAGCAAGCAGCTTGTTATGGAGGCACCTGCTGCTCCGTGTGTCCATTCACACACGGAGCCGAGGCCCCACCCCCTCTCTCTCTTCTTTGGCTGACTGGTTGTGATTGACAGCAGCAGAAGCCAATGGCTCCCACTTCTGTCTCAGCCAATGAGGAGGCAGAGACTCTGGACAGCTGAGGCTGTTGTGAACATCGCTGGCTCTCGGTGGGGCTCAGGTAAGTATTGAAGGGGCTGGGGACAGGGGCGGACTGACAAGTCATGGGACCCCGGGCAATAGGGGATCATGGGGCCCCTGTGTCCTTGCCCAAACTCAAAAAAGCCTATGAAAAAGGTACCAGGGGCATCTCATGGGGCCCCTTACTGACCCCGGGCCCTCAGGCAGTGCCCGAGTTTTCAAATGGTCAGTCCACCCCTGGCTGGGGACACTGCTGTACACAGAAGGTTTTTTACCTTCATGCATAGAATACATGGAGGTAGAAAAACCTTGAGACTTTACAGCTGCTCTAAGGTTAACTACAAATTGACATTTAAAAACATAAGCGCTGTTCCTCATAAATAATGTAAGTACAATCAGTGTTCTATGTGATAAGTAGCATCTACCGTGAAGTGATCACTCCGTGCTATACAACACCTCCCCCCCTTCCTATTTCCATGATTATCAATGAATGTAAATGTATAAATTCCTAGGAATTTACTAATTTACTACTTAAATTGGCCAAGTGTGTCACTCTGGAATGATAAACCCCCCCTAATCCAATCTGTGTGAAATAGAGATGGATCCACAATCCACCTCCCTCTATTGCAAAGGATGCAAAAAAATGCAAATACGTGAGAAATGTAATAAACAGTAAATACATGAGTAGTACCAAAGGAATGGTACTATAATACACCTCCCCCGTGTGACACCATGCATATAGAATTAAATGTAATAAACAGTGCAGTAAACTCTATACATTGACATGGCAAATGAAAATCTACAAACCACCTTCCCCCTCTGCCCTCCTCCTAATAAACACTCCAATATAAATGAACAATAAACAATGTACGTACAAAAAAAGTTACAAATAAATAAAGTGTCCATGCACAAATATTAGAAATCCAAAAATGAATATATCAGAATAATATAATAGTCCATTAAACACATTCTTGTGCTCCAATGTGCTGTGAGAGCTAATAGAAAAATTTGTGCTTCCACACGTGCTCCCCTGCTAGTTTGAACTAGTTTGGGTTCACTATTAATAAGAGCCGAAAATGTGGGTTTTTTTCAAGTTTTTGTTTTCCAAATCATTATCACCTTGACAATATACAGTTTTAAATTGATAACTCCAGATAAGTAACAATCCAAGTTCATCTACCAGTGTCCTGGCTAGCCCTGGTGCCACAGCATAACAATACCCCTTTGTGTGCCAATTTACCAAGTTAATGACCAAAGACATACCTTATATGGGTTTTCTATAAATACAGAGGATGCCCATGGGACTGAGAGCTGCGCCAAATAATTAATACCACATTACATAAAATAATACATCTTTTATTCCATATTAAGGTTAAAATCAAGGTACAAAATACTTATAACCATGCATTGAAAAGAAAGAAAATGTAAACATAGGTTTATGTTCCACAAAGTTTTCCCAACAAACAAGTAGGCAAGTGTTGATGTTAATATTGATGCGTTTTGTGAAGCAATGTTCACTTCTTCCGGAGATAAGAGAATCCAAACAATTCTATAGAGAGATAATATCATTAAAATAAATAAATACAAAGGAATCCAATACATACCCATACAAAAAACTGTCTATGAATAGAGATATCTAGAATATAACATGAACAATCCCTATTGTTAATGTCATATCTTAAATAGCCTGAAGGTTTTTTCTGCTGTACCCATCACCTCTAGTGCAGCTGCGACCAGGGGCGGATTGACCATTCGAGCACTCGGGCACTGCCCGAGGGCCCGGGGTCAGTAGGGGGCCCATGAAATGCCCCTGGTACCTTTTATAGGCTTTTTTGAGTGTGCTTTGAGTTTGGGCAAGGACACAGGGGGCCCCATGATCCCCTATTGCCTGGGGTCCCCATGAGTTGTCAGTCCGCCCCTGGCTGTGACTTGATCCAATTTTCAGTACGATTTTGTAGATTCATTTTTTACATGCATTTTTGGTGTGTTTGCTTTGAAGTCTATGAGGCACAAAGTCAGACTGCATAACACCAAAGTAGCACCTGTACCTTCCCCAAAGTTGCATCACAGTAGCGTTGCTAATGTCTTATTTTAAATAGCCTGAAGGTTTTTTTCTGCTGTACCCATCACCTCTAGTGCAGCTGCGACCAGGGGTGGATTGACCATTCGAGCACTCGGGCACTGCCCGAGGGCCCGGGGTCAGTAGGGGGCCCCATGAAATGCCCCTGGTACCTTTTATAGGCTTTTTTGAGTGTGCTTTGAGTTTGGGCAAGGACACAGGGGGCCCCATGATCCTCTATTGCCCGGGGGCCCCATGAGTTGTCAGTCTGCCCCTGGCTGCGACTTGATCCAATTTTCAGTACGATTTGTAGATTCATTTTTTATGCAGATGCATTTTTTCGTAGGAGAACATACAAAATTCTGCCAAAAATTTTTACATGCATTTTACGTGCATTTTTGGTGTGTTTGCTTTGAAGTCTATGGGGCACAAAATCAGACTGCATAACACCAAAGTAGCACCTGTACCTTCCCCAAAGTTGCATCACAGTAGCATTGTTAATGTCTTATCTTAAATAGAAGGTTTTTTCTGCTGTACCCATCACCTCTATTGCAGCTGCGACTTGATCCAATTTTCAGTGCAATTTTGTAGATCCATTTTTTATGCGTTTTTCATGCAGATACATTTTTTGTAGGAGAATGAGAATACACAAAATTCTGCCAAAAATGCATTAAAAACGCATGTACATGCATTTTTGGTGTGTTTGCTTTGAAGTCTATGGGGCACAAAATCAGACTGCATAACACCAAAGTAGCACCTGTACCTTTCCCAAAGTTGCATCACATTTGCGTTGCATTGATGTGAATGGGCCTCTTTGAAATAAATGTGATTTCTATTGTCGTGCGACACAAGTTGCATCTGAAATCACACTAATGTGAATTAGGTCTACAATAAATTCTCCTGTATTACTTGAAAATCCTGCTGTCTTTGCAGTCCACAAATGTCACAGATTGCATCTGCTGCAGCTTGCATTTTAGGTCTTGTTACAAAGTTACAATCTTGTAATCTGACTACTGGGAAAAAGGAGACTGAGGAATTGCTTCCTCTTGTCCGCAGTAGACTGATGCCATCATCTCAGTTTAAAAGTCATTGATTGGAGCTCAAGGATTGTGTTTTAATTAAAAATTACAATGTTTTTTGGAAAAATCTTGAGTTAAACGTTTACTGAAAATGTATTATATTGC